GCCCCGGGAGGGGAACAGGCAGGAGAGCAGGGGCAGCTGCAGCTTATCTTGGGATGTATGACGAGCTCACAGGCAGGGCCGGGCGTGGCAGAGGAGCCCGGGGACTGAGTCAGGCCCTGATGCCCGTCCCCAGAACAGGACAGTCCAGGTCCTGCTGCCCGTCCCCAGACCAGGACACCCCAGTCCTGCTGCCCGTCCCCAGACCAGGACACCCATTTGCACTGGCTGGGCTCCCCAAGCTCCTACAGCGTCCAGGGCAGGCGCTGCGCATGAGGCCGGGGCGTGCGATGAGTGGACGCCCTGTGGGGGACGGGGCCTATGCCGTGGTGGGCAGGACTGTGGGCTGTGCCATGCCGACCCTCACCTGCGTGTCTGCATTTAACACCTTGATCCTCTGGGTGGAGATGAAGAGGTCCACTTCTGTCAGCGTCTGCGCATCCCCCTCGGAGTTCTAGGACAGGACAGTGGACACCACGGTGAGCCGACGTGCCCTGGAACTGCTCTCAGAGGGCCACACAGCAGCGGAGGCAGGCGTCGGCAGGTCCCCAGGGTGGGTCACAGGAAGTGCAGGTTAACCTCCCACCATCAGGACAGTCGTCCTCAGGCACGGAGAGCAGGGGGCTGGGGGTGCGGGGACCTGGTGGGTGCTAGCAGCCCATGCACCACATGGGGCACAGGGTGGGCTGTGCATGCACGTGAAGGGACCCTGAAGCCACTGATCACCCACTAGGGCCCACCCACAGGAGGCGCGGTCAGCCTGTCGTGGGGAGACCCATGCCGTGTCCACGTAACAACTCCCACAGAGCCATGACTCGGAGCTGGGCCAGGGCTCACAGATAAACAGACATGGCCCTGGTGCAGACATGACAGGATCCTGCCGTGCGGGAAGGTCAAGGGGCCAGAGGACACCACTCCGGGACCTTACTGGGCATAGGATATGTGCCACAAGCCCTCACATGTGCACTGTAAGAACACACCATCGTGTCAGGGACCCAGAGGGTGGCATCGAGCTGGCATGCAGAAAGAGGACATGCGAGTCCACTGGGCCGTAGGGCACGTCCCCGACGCCGACAGTGACGCGCTGCCCTGCTCAGATCCTGGCTGTGGCCCTGAGCCCACTCCCACTGAAGAGCAGGCCCTGAGGCCCCTGGTAGGAGGCGTGGGCAAGCTGGACACCGTGACGTGTGTGGCTGGGCAGGCAGGGGCTGACACTGCCCCATGAGGCTCCCGTGGTAGGGAAGCAGATGGTGCCAAAATCGCCAGAAATGGGTGGGGCAGGCCAGGTCACGTCCGCACGGCAGGGACAGCGTCCGCGAGGCTGACCACACAGAGCTCCTGGGTTCATGTCCGCTGTCCCTCGACATGCCGGCTCATGTGCCCGGGGTCTGGCTGGATGAGCAGGGCCCTGTCGGGCCTGTCTCTAGAGATCACCCCCCTCTGTCTCTCTATGGCTGGCTGTTGTGTCTTCCTCTCTGTCTATAAAGCAGGGAAGGGGAGAGGTCTCCCATCCCATCCCTGGTGGAGGTGGGGGTGTCAAGAGACCTACATGGGGACACCAGAGATAGCTGTGGACGTGGGGCCCAACCCTCGAAGACCAGCAGTGACGGGCAGAGCAGCTTCTGCTGCCAGGTCCCCTTGTCACATCTCTGGCCAGCCCTGGCAGGCTCTGTGACAGCTGTGAGGTAGAGAAAGACATAGAGCGTGTCCCACAGGGCCCCGACACCTCCGTGTAGCCCCAGCCCAGGCCGCAGGGCCACGTGTACCTGGTGAGCTCAGGGGGTCTTTGGACCTCAGCCTAGAACCCTTCTGTGTGGAAAGGGGCTCCAAAGGTGCAGCTGGGCACAGTGTGGGCATTACGTTGGGCAGAGATCTTGGGGCAGCCCCGGCCTCCAGACCAGAGAGGAGGCAGGCTTGGTCTCGCTGTGTAAACCGTCTCCACGGCTCGCCCTGCACTGCTGACTGGGCACTTTGGTGCTGGCTGTGTGAGGGCTCTGGGCCTCCAGCACACACTGCAAGGCCAGGCTGACGACTAAGGGCTCAGTGTCAACCCCACTCCCAGGGCCTGGGCCTGAGGGCGGGCCTTCCACAGAGAGCGTCTCCCAGCACCTGGCGTGCCCACCCCTGCCTGGTCCACTACATCCACCCGTCTTCGGCCACAGGAATGACTTCTCGGTACTGCATGGGTACTTGTGCCAGTGTGCAAACCCACGTTGAAACACGTCCATGTGAGACAGGGACTCTGTGGCCGAGACCACGCAAAGCCCATGGGAGACTGAAGGAACAGGACAGGGAGGGACTGTGATCGGGCCCTCCTGCAGGGGGCGCCAAGGACAGCAGTGACTGCGTCCACCCACGTGGCCTAACGCTCACCCTCGTGGAGAGGGGACAGCCACGACACCACATGGGCCCCCAGCAAGCCCCCGACGCCCAGGACAAGCCACACAAACACGCGAGCACGGCTGGCCGCAGCGACGCCCTACACACCGCTTTCTTCTTGATCTTAGCAGCCTTCTGCATCCTCTGAGCAGCGTGGAAGAGAGAAGAGAGACTGGTAGGCGCCAAGGCCGCGTGTGGCTGGAGCTGCCAGGTGCGTGGCAGTGTCCCAGCGCCCGGCTTAGCACTGGCAGAGCCCGTGGGGCAGGGGAGGGGCTCTGCCTGCGTCCTCACGTGCCCCGCAGTGCGAGAAGTGGCAGGTGACCTGCCGTCCACAGAGCGACACGGGCAGTGTCAGGGAGTGGGCCGAGCTCGCGGGCGCCCAGGGCCGGGCCTCTGCTGCAGGGTGCCGGCGGGCAGGCCTGGGCTCTCTCTGCTGTCTCGTGGGCCTCGCAGTCCCCATGACAGAGCTCAGTGTGCATGAGGGCAACACCACAGACCCCACCCGCCCTCCCAGGGGCAACGCTCACCCTGCTCACCGTCTCAGACCCTCACACCTCCCTCCACCCCAGGCCCTGCCTCGCCCAGAAGCCACATGCTTTAGGGCCGCCCTCAGGTCGGGGCTGAGGAAGCAAGCCGTGCGTGTCCCTTCCAGAAACACGGCAGGGACCCACGGCGCCAACGTATTTGTGACCAGATGCTTCGGACGGCCACTCTGAGCCGTGTCTCGGGGTGTGGGGCGCTGTCCCTTGCCAAGCAGCTGCCTCTCTGCCCGGCCCGGGCCTCCCCACCCTCAGGCCGACGCCGAGGCCCTACCTTGACCCGGCTGACGGCCTCCTGCGCCTGCATCATCCGGATGTTCTTGGAGGGGTTGCGCTCGGACAGCAGCTGCGTGGAGCCCAGGTAGTTGGCCGCGAAGATGATCCCGTCAACCAGGTCTTCCGGCTCGCAGGGCCCTGGGACTGAGGGCAGCATGTACCGCATGAGGGACGCGGCCACGCTGGAGCCCCGGCCGGCCGGGGAGGGCCAGTCGCATCCGTTCCCGTGTGCTGGGGCAGCGGGGCTGGCGGGGGGGGGCCCTGCCCCACCCCCTCCAAGCCCTTAGCCCTGCCCCTGTGCACCTGCGGGTCTGGGCCCCAGGGGTCCAGGGACCTTGGGGACCACCTCTCCCTCACTGCCTGAGGGGCAGGAAGTACCCTCTGTCTGTGTGCCCTCCTCCCCAACCACTGACTCCGTGTCTATCCAGACACCGCAACATCAAGAGGGCGGCGAGAAGCCCGCTGCCTCCACTGGGGTCAGGTCAGGGCTCAGGGACGGTGTGTCCAGATGTACAGCTGAGACCCCTGTCCCCTGTGTGATGGCCGTGGGGGACTGCCCAGGTGACCCCAGAGTGCACGGGCGCTTTCTGCACAAGCAGGCAGCCATCTGCGACCTTGAGCCCTCACCAAGCCTAGCGTGCCGACCCGACCTCGGAACCGTGGGAGGCCACCTCCAGCCACGCGGCGTGTGGCGTTCGCGACAGCAACCCCAATGGCCTTGTGCTGCCACAGGCCCCAGCCACCCCCGCGTGGCCATGAGTCGGCCCCTCTGCTCCCACCCACGCCTCAGGGTTCTGGGGTGGAGCTGTCCACAGCCCAGGGGGCCACGTGGGGTCACGCACGTGGTGGCCAGAGCCATTCCTGCCCTCGGGCCCCAGCAACGGCAGACACCCAGCAGTGCTGTCCCGGCCCCACATGGCCAGGGTGTCAGCCCCAGGACTCGGTGTTCATCACTGCCCTCGGGGCTTCGCCTGTGCTTAAACCCAGGACACGACACACATCGCGGGACACCTGGAGCAGGCCTCCTCCCAGCACCTAGCACCCAGGTGTGGCCTCCCCGCCCACTGGAGCCCGAAGCCCCTTCCTGAGGCCCCGCCAGGCACACGCAGTCAGCCAGAGCTGGGAAGCCCCAGCGCAGGAGAAAAGGCGGCCTCTCGCTCCAGACCCCGCTAACACACTCCCGAGGCCCCCACCACCTGCCAGAGTCATGCCGTAGGGACCATCCCACCCAGCGGGCCTGAGGCGGTGACCGTGACTGCCTAGGAGATGGCCCGCCCTGCCCACAGAGCTGCTGGTCTTCCGGCCGCCCCTACCCCTGGCCGCATGCGCTCTGCTGTGTGCCGGCCCGTCGGCGCACATGAGGGAGGGGCCAGGCTCCTATGGATGGGAGGACGCACGCCCAGCTGCCCCACGTGCCCAGTCAGCTCACACGCTCGCGAGGTTCAGGCTGCTGTTCTGATCCAGGCCCGAGTGGATCTCCCCGGTGCAGCCCGCCGGGCGGGGCATGCGTGGGAAGGGCTCCTGGGCAGTGGGGCCCAGGGCTCAGCTCCGGCATACCCCCACACACGCATGGTCCACCAGCGGTCCGGTCAGCTGCAGGTCCAGGCCAGGATCGTTGACAGCCCTTCACCAGGAGAGGCCCGCGGTGTCATGGGGCCCCGAAGCCAAGCATGGCGATGCCCACGGACCGTCTCCGGCCAGGATGACCCCCCTAACCACCCATCCATGAACCCATGAGACATCCGGCATGGGACGCTGGCCCTTCCCGGGAACAGGCCAAGGGAGGAGGCAGACGGAGCCGGGAAGCAAGCCACGCACGGACTCCACGTACGCCAGCGCCCGGCGCTGAGGGCATGCACACTGGCACCTGAAACAGGGAGACCGCCCCCTTGTCCCAGCTGTGCGGGCAGCGCTGCGCTCACTCTTCCCACGCGCCCGGCCAGCTACGTGGTGCCGCAGGGAGCACAGGGACTGACGCTGAGGCCACCCAGGCCCTAGGTTCGCATCTCGAGGGGTCCCCGTCCTGTCGGGTATAGGCGCACGTCCGCGGCACTGGCCAGCCAAGGCTGGGGGGCCTCAGCGTGAGGACTGCACAGGGGTGCCTCTCTCCTCGCTTCATTCTGCGGGAGGAAACAGACTTCCCACGTTTTAGACGCAGGTAGAGGGTATGCTGTGGGTCTGAGATTTCCTCTGCAGTAACCAGGTGAGCAGGTGAGACTGAGCACCGCTTCCTGGAGCTGCCGACGGGCACACGGTCTGCTTCTGTAATCTCTGAGACTCTCACCAGCACGCCGCCAGGGCCTGGCCTCCCACCCGGGAAGATGAGGGAGCAGCCGCACAGTCCAGCTCTCCCGGCACAGCCGTCTGCAGGGTGACAACTAAAGCCCATGTAAAAATGGGAGCACTCAGGGCTTCGCATTTAATACACAGAGAAAACAGCTTGCTCAGTCCCTGCGAGCGGCACCGGCTAAGGACACGACGGGGCAGAACCCCAAGGAACGGGCCAAAAAGACGTGTCGTCGGACTCCACGACTGAGCTGTAGCTTTGGGGCCTGGAAGATTCCGTATCGTAAAACTGACATTTTCCCTCTAACAGACAAACTTAACGAATGCCAAATGAAATACCAGCAGAAACCTTTACCGTTACCTAGACAGGCCAATTCCAAAGCTCCTACGCAAAAATACGTATGTGAAAGATTCACGGAGGGCCCGAGGGAGGCGAGCCGGAGTGGAGGCCCTACCAGGCAGCAGTCATGCCACAGGCACCTGCAGACACCGGGGTCAGACAGCTGACGCCTGTGCCAGGGACGTGTGCGACAGCGCGCTGTGCCGTGGCTGGGACGGGCAGGGAGGGCCAGGGCAGGGCAGGGCCCAGCACATGGCCAGCCAGCACCCACCCTAGGCAGAGGGTGCAGGGCCGTGTCTCGGCCAGGAACAGTGACCGTGACGTAGCTTTGTGGGAAGGGCCCAGGGGAGCCTATGAGCTGCGCTGAGGCTGCAGGGGCCACGGCACGAAGACCTGCCGGGCGCTAAACCCTCTCCCAACAGAGGCAGAGAGGAGAGGCCCCCCTGCATGCTGGTCTGTGTCCAGGGCGCCCCGGAAGGCTGCGGGGCTTCAGGAGGGGCAGGGCTGCTCCTCTGTCCTCTGCTACGTCCCTCCCAGAGCAGAGGACAGCCGCTGGCTAGAGCTCTGCGCCTGCCGCCGTCCTGCCGGGACAGGGAGTGATGGCTGGAGCTTTGCCGACCCTGTGGGACAGTGAGGTGCCATGCCCGAGCACAACAGAGATGTAGTCACCGCTCCGGGTATCTCAGAGCACTCGCCTCTGTGCGACACCCGCCCACCCACACGCTTGTGCTTGGTGTCCCCTTGTGCCTGGCAGTCCCGGCTGTGGGTGGGATGGGGTCTTCCTCCTGGCACTCAGCGTGTCGCGCTGCCGAGGAGCCCAGCAGAGGCTGGGTGTGGCCCCAAGCACTAAGGCTGCCTCGGCCACGCGGTCCGTTCACAGCAGCGGCTCCCCTCCAGGAGGCTCTCCTGGACACGCGCTCTGCCTGGGCCTGTCCGGGTCAGACTGAGGGCCTTGACGGTGGGAGGTCAGGGGGCGCTGTGACACAGAGCCCTCCTGGGCCTCCCTGGCCTGACCCACCGCGCCCGCACGGCCCCTGGCCCTGCTCCAGGGGAGCTGGGACAGGCCGTGGTCACGCCGGCTGCCCACTGAGTGCAGAGGGGAGAGGTCGGACCCTCCAGCTGAGCGGGAGTCCACGCAGCCTGCTCAGCCTGACATCAGTCTGAGCCTGTTCCAGCCAGGTAACAGGTCTGGAAAACCACTGTCGACCTCGGGGGGCACCCCTCGAGCCTGTCACATGGGTCAGAACAAAGCCCTCCGGGTCCAGGAGGCGTTGGCCCACGGTGGATCGTGGCTCCTTGGCCTGGGCCGCAACGTCTACACGGCGTTGACTCATTTTGAACCTGCTGGAACTTGGGTCAGTCTGGCTCAGGTGAGACCCTTACAGAGGCATTTGGGCGGCTTCCTGGGCGTCAGGTCTTCAGTAAGGAACAGAGAACAGGGAGGGCTCAGAGCCACCCGTCTCTGAAGACCAACGCGCCTGACTCCATAAACACTGGGAGAGGAGCTACCTGCGTACTGAGTGGGCAGGACGCACTGCCCCCCAGGGCGCACCAGCGGCTGGACACCCGCGGGGAGGACGACGCCACCCTGGGCGACAGACACCGCCCGTGGGGCCCGTGGCCCTGACGCCGGAGCAGAAGGCGGCCCCGGAAGTGGCCCACGCAGGGCGGTCAGGGCATCCTTTCTCAGACGTTGTGACGCTCTGGCCAGCACCCCACATAAGATGGGAGGCAGCTGCTCAGGGCCTCAGATGGCAGCAGCCTGACCTGGGGGCGCCCAGCCTCAGCCCCCAGAGCAACGCTGTGCGCAGCAAGCCCCCACAGCCCTGTCATGGCTGACACGCCCTTTACGGCTGTGGTAGAATGAGGAGGTCCGCTGTCCTCAGGCCACCACGGGCCCGTCAGCCAGACCCCACGTGGGCTGGACTGAGCTCGGACAAGCTCACAGGGGCTACGAGGAAAGCGCTGTCAGGCAGCCCACCCGACAGAAGGAATTCCGTCACTTACCAGCCACGAAGCTCGGGAACGACGCCACCTTCTTCGTCTGTGAGGGAACATGGGAGACACTGAGCTGCGAGCGGGCGGGGCTGGGACCACGAGACACGCCAGGCCCCACAGAGTGCCACTTGGCCGAGGCGCATTCAACCTTGGGGGAGCCCTGGAGCCCAGCTCTGACACGGAACCGGGGTAGCAGGGACCCCGAGGGGTGGTGTCCTTGGAACCTACACAGGGTGCATGGGGGCCAGGCGTGGTGTGGCAGTAACCCAACTGGCCTCTGTGGAGAGCTCGTGGTAACATCCCAGGACCTCCCTTGTGCACGGGGGTGTGCACACCCACACGTGATCTGGGCTGGTGGAGACGGGGAGATGGCGCCTGAGGACCCTGTCAGGGTGCTGGTTCTCCGTCCCTCTCTCAAGGAAGAAATAAATAAAACTTTAAAAGGGTGAAGGGCCAGCCAGTGACCGGTGGTTAAGGCGCTGGATTGCACAAGGCTGACTGCGTGGTCCAGGTCCGACCCGCAGCCTGGGAACACGTCAGGTGCGTGTGCGTGCATGCCCAGTCCCGAGAGGAGAGAGACTGCACCCTGGCATCCCCGGGGAGCTTCCGACTGTCCCCTCTCAGTGAGGGCATACACGCTACCAGAGCAGGAAGGGAGCCGGGCCAGCTCATCCTGTCGGGAGCTCTCTGGGCCCCGTCTCTGGAGCCCGGGCACTAACAACCTCCCTGTGGTGCTGCTGTCATAGGCTTGCTTCAAAACCATGTTAGGGTTCCAGTGTCCCCTGGGATGGCCTCTGCCCCCGGGGGCCTTTGACACTTTTGGTTGCCGTATCGGGCAGGGAGGGTGCTGGCATGGATGGGTAGGGGCCAGGAATGCTGCCAAAGCCCCACAGGGTGGCCCACAACATGGCGGTGCTGCTCTGGGCATTCTGGTGCCACTGCAGAGAAGCTGGCCTCCCACTCAGCGACCAGAGAGGTGAGTGCCCGTCAAAGACGGCAACACCGACTGCCCTTGCCTGCACGGCCGTCCTCCCCTCCCGCCAGGGCCACACCAGCCTGCCGGGCTGGCTCCCTGCATGGCGGCCCACGGCACGGGCGGGCAGGGCTCAGGGTGCAGGCCCCGGGCATTACCTCGGGGATGTTGTTGTTGTCCACAGGCCCGTTGAGGTCGGAGCGCTGCTGCTTCCTGGGCGGCTCCGGGCCGTTGCAAACCTGCGAACGGGAGCCAGGGATGGTGTCTTCCCACATCGGGGACAGGCCCGACACAGGAACCGATGCTGCAGGACGCTAACACACGTGTGTGCATAGCATGACATGCATCGTTACACATGACCGCCAAGAGTTAACACGTCTGCTTTCCACATCAAAGCTAAGGCACTTTTTTTTTTTTTGAGAGGTTTTTCCTATAGGGCGCGTGCGCTCGCCAGACAGAGAGAGACATAGAGACAGAAAGCGAGAAATCACCCCCCAGGGGGGATGGTCACGCCGCAATCCCTTCTCCTCCATTCTCCTCTCGGGATCTTGGGCACGCACGCACACGCGCCCGGCGTGAGTTTTAAGCCACCGGGTCCGGGACACGAACCGCGGTCGACTACGTGGGAGTCCAGCGACATAGTCATTACGCTAACTGCTGGTTCCCAAAGCTAAGGCACTTTTAAGTGTTATTTATTGTTTCAAATCATAGTAAAACATGGAACTCACCCACCAGCCGAACTGTTGTGGGGGCGCTGCCCACTCTCTGCGGACCCCCACCCGCACCCCCAGGACTGTTTAGCCCTGCAGAGCAAAACTGTCCTTCCAACAGCGACAGCCGCAGTCCCAGCCTGGCCACGCCATCCTCCAGGGCTACCATGGGGCCCACGTGGCACCGGGCCTCCAGGTCTTCGTGCATGGCTGGCGTCAGGGTTATCTTTCCAGGGCTGCGCCCTCCCCCGCTGTGTGGGCAGGCCACGCTGCCCCTCGGGCCTCTCGGCTACGGTGGCCCGGCTGCTGTGCACATAGGCTCCCTGGTCTGGCTCCTCAGAGATGTACCTAGCAGGCGGCCTGCCCCCATGGTGGTCTTGTGCCGACCTCAGGGTCCGCCGTGCCACCGTGCGTCCCGCCAGTAGTGCCTGAGGGCTAAGGTCACGGTTTAAAAAACCCTGTTTCTGTTTGAAAATAACGTGGATTAGTCAAGCTACTGCATGCCAGTGTCTCCTATTTGTTTGTTTGTTTGTTTAAATTTTGACCAGAGAGCGACAGAGAGGCAGGGCTGGGGGGACAGTGAGAAAGGAAGCCACTAAGTCTGAGACTCGAACCACAGCTGGCCACGTGGGAGTTGAGCGTCCTTAACTACCACGCCACCTGCCAGCTCCTGCCTGCATCTTCTCTAAAGATGACTTCAAACCCCAATTTCCTTGGGCCACTCAATAAAGCTGGAGGTTTAGGTGTACCTGGGTACTTCACGTTTCTGGAAACGGAATTAATATGCGAGCTTATTTTGGGCAAAGGGTTGTGACATCACCCGTCACACGCACCCTTGGAGAGCGTCCTGGGGCATACTTCCTCTGTCCAGGCCTCTCACCCACAGCACAGTGTCTTGTTCAAACCCGGGTGGTGGACCGGCATGGTGAGCAAGTTCCAGAACTTTCAAGAATTAGCCACAGAGCAGCACGCTGCTTCAGGAGCAAGCTGATGAATGGAAGCCACGGTCCACAGACGAAGTCCAGGGAAACCTTCCGTGGGTGGAGAGTAGCCAGGCTGCGACATGGGCCACCACAACCACCAGGCATCCCGGCCTCGCCGCGCTCCTCCATGGAACACCAAGCTCTTGGGCCACCACAGCCGCCAGACCACCCTGGCCCTCGCCGCGCTCCTCCATGAGACGCCAAGCTCTTGGGGTTGAAGGAAATGTTTCTAGACCTGGGCCCGCCCTGGGCACTTCTGGGAAGACGTGCCATGCCCGGGTGGTCAGTGAGTCCTATCTCTACACCCCACGGTGACCACAGACTCAGGGGCTGTGCTGCGGGGACTCCAAGGTGGGGAGGAGGAGGAAGGGGGGGCTCAGGTGAGGGGTGCTGTCTGGCTCCTGCCCTGAAGGGGCTATAGGACCCCTCACATGCACCCGAGTCCTGGGAGTGCTTGGCCCGACCCCCTGGCCCTGCTGGTCTGGTCTGTCCCAAGTCCTCCCTCTGGAGTAGACCCCACCTTCCCTGGACAAGAGGGCTATGTCGCCTTGGGGCTCCACTGCGGCACACCCACAGGTCAGCCGAGCCAACCACGCCCCTTCCTGCAGGGCTGGGCTGGCTGGGCCTCTCCCCGAGGACCCCACAGCAGGCAAGGCCCGCATCGATACACCCCCACAAAGCCAGCTCACCAGGCAGCACGTGGTCATGGGCACAGGGGTGTTTCAAGATGCGCTCAGAGCCGTCCACAATGCCCGAGGCGGGCTGTGGTGTCCACCCTCCTGCCTCGGCCTCCTAAGCAGCTAGAATCAGGCATATGCCACCGTGCCAGCTGCTAAGGGCCAGGAATCGAACCTGGGCCTCCCATCAGCCTCAGCCTACAGCAGCAGCATCTCCTGGTATGCCACCTACCTGCCACAGCGGGGCTGCCCAGCACAGCGCTGCCTGTGAGGGCGTCCAGTCCTGAAGGCTGTCCCTCACCAGTGCCAGCCAGGCCACACCAGTGCCGACCAGGCTCTGGTCATTCTGGAAACCCCAAAGGGACAGGGTGACCAACTGGCAAAGGCCACAGGCCAGTCACCACTCCTGAGGGCCACGGGCCAGCCACCACTCCCAAGGACCACTGCTCTCTGGCATCTCCTCGGGGGCTCCTACAGCTGCTGTGTGGGATAAGGCTCGGGTGCCACACGTGGACCTTCCTAGAGTCCCCACCAACAAACAGCCCACGAAAGCCAACCACGCAGAAGCATGGCCCGTTGTCACTGGAAGGACAGCTGTGTGGGTGTGAGCTGGCTGTCACCTCACCCACTGAGCAGGGACGGGTGCGTGTGACCTACCCACACCCACGGTGTCGGTGCGCCACAGGGAGCCGGCGACTAAGCAGATCCGATGAGCCCACGAGTGACACACACTACGTGTGCTCTAGCTGCAGAACGCAGAGAGCACTGCTCTGTGAGACCTGACCAGGAGCCGTGAGACAGCTGTGGCTCTCATCTGGTCCCCGTGGGCTTCTACAATGCCACACGCAAACTTCTCTTTTTGCCTGTGTTTTCCAAATTTCCTTCCGTGGATGTGCACGGCTTTCACAGTCCGGCGTGGTTGTTTTCAACTGAATGCAGGCTGCCTGTGCGCCCCACGCCTCCCCGCGTCTGTGCTGCCCTGTCGGGGTGGAGACGCCGTGTGGACGTCTAGCTGCAGGCTGGAGCCCGGGCCTCACCAGGACACGGAAGCCTATGGTCGAGATGGTGCGGAGGGCGTGTCCTCCACTGCTGTGGCAGGGCGGCTGGCTGGTGTATGAGTCAGAGGCAGCTTAGGCCTCAGAGCCTGCCCCCAGGTGGGGAGGAGGAGCCAGGTGACGGCAGGTGACAAAGGAGTGGCGTCTTCCAGAGGGTGCCGTGGTGGCGACTGTGAGAGAGAATGGAGGCCGAGCACTGAAGAGAAGCGCAGTGGGGCGTGCGGTGCTGCTGGGGCGGGAGAGTGCAGACCAGGCCCAGAGCGGGTGGGCCGGGCTGTCCCCAGGTGTCGCTAACACAGAGGGCGGGGTTTGCACAGGTCGTAGGGCGGAAGAGAGGCGGCAGTGCCTGCGTGTCCCAGGGGACACCGATGGCTGTGAAGTGACGGGGAGATGGCACAGCAACACGAAGGCACACTGTCAAATGGTGGGGGTCACGGCTGGGGTTGAGGATGGCTCACGCTCGGCAGTCCCCAGGTGTGCAGGAGAATGGACACAGCTCACCACCCCATCGGTGGACGGGACCGCGAGGTACACTGTCATAGTCCTGTTGCTATTTCCAGTTCTGCAACGCGGCTCGTCCGGGCAAGGGCAATGAACTCAGGCCTCTTGACGACACGTGCGGGGTCATCCGAGGCTCGTCAGCATCTCCGTGGACCCGGGGTGAAGCTGGGAGACAGCGTCCAGCCTGCGTCTGCCTGGCACCCAGGAGGGTTTCTGAAGGACGGCAAGGCCTTGCATCTGCACACCACAGATGCAGGGCAAGCTTCCGAGAAGACCCCCGTAGGGGCGCCAGCCCTGGACGGCGGGCAGCCCCGACCTGTGCAGTAGAGATGGTCTCTGTGCTGCCTGCCCTGCAGGGCGGTGTAAGTTAGGGGCGGCCGAGTGCCAGCCAGAGTAGGCCAGGGGAGAGAGCCCCGGTACACAGGATGGTCCACGGCCACGCCCTGGCACCCCACGCCCCGTTTCAGCAGAAAAGAGTAGACGTGGGACGCTTGGAGCCGTGGCTTTCAGCAGATGCCCGCCGCCTGCCGCCCGCTTTCCCTCCTGCTGTGTCTGCGTGTGTTCCCATTCAGCTCGCTCTCGGGGTCCCACATCCCTTCACCCCCACATCCATTCTGACGCCCCGTCTAGGCATTACCGCGGGGCAGACATGAGGACCCTTTTTCCAAAAGCTGCACTGAGAGTCCTCTGCAGCCGTCGGTCGTGTTTTCATGAACTGCACCAAAGCCTTGCGACTGGGACCTTGTGACATAACCACAGCGAAAATTAGAAGCCAACAAGCAGCCCCGAGTGCGCCGGGACCTAGCCCTTTCCGACGGCTCCTAGCTCTTCACTCTCTCCCGCAGAAGAGCCAACACGGCCACCTCACCGACCCCGCAGCTGCCCGCCAGGCGTGTAGCACACCCTGGGGAGAAGCTGTGTGAGAACCTGCCACCTGGCAGTTTGCGTCCTGAGACTGAGACGAGACCGCAATCTGAGACTGACTGTAACACTTCTAAGAGGTCGCGTTTGAGGCTCTGGTGTCTGTAATCATCAAGTTTCCTAAAACTACCCGACCTGCACGCCAGACGAAGTACGTCAGTATACGCAGGCGTGGACGCTGCATGTGGTGGGCGAAGTGCGTCAGCGTACGTCGGCTCGGGTACACTGGCTGGATTTGGCCAAGGCTATTCAAAGCTAGTCCTGAATAGCAGCAAAGTTTTATATTTTCCTTTTGACCAAAATTAACACAAATACCCTATTTTCATCCCTAATTTTAAAAAAAGTCTCTCTCTCTCTCTCTCTCTCTCTCTGCCTGTCTTTCTTCAGTAAGCATTCATGCCCTCTGGCAAGAAAAATTCTTTATATGTAGAAATCCTGCAGACACCCCTCTCTCTTCATATCCGTGCCCTCTTCTGAGGAAAAAAAGTAACTGAGGCTTTGGGACCAGCAGTTAGCGTAGTGGCTATATCACTGGACTCACATGTAGTCAACTGGGGTTCGAGTCCTGGACCCGGTGGCTTAAAACTCACACCAGGTATGTGTGCATGCGTGCCCAAGATCTCGAGAGGAGAATGGAGGAGAAGGGATTGTGGTGTGGCCATCCCTTCTGGGGGGTGATTTCTCGATTTCTGTCTCTCTGTCTCTCTCTTTCTGGTGAGCACACGCGCCCTATAGCAAAAAACCTCTCCCCCAAAAAAGAAAGAGAGACAGAGAAACTGAGGCCTAACACGCAGGGACGGAGCCCTCAGCAGTGAGCAGGGAAGCCCCTTCCGTCAGGCCAGGCCTCCCGACACTGTGGTGGGCACCTTCTCAAGGGTGTCATCAGGACACACAGTGATGCTCAGGTTCACGCCCTGGTGGACCTGCTTTCTCCCGAGCCCTGGCCAGTCCCGTGGACGGTCACCTCCGAGGCAGTCACCACTCCTGCCCCCAGCCTGGCCCTGGCTTTCCGGTGAGTCATGGCCACCCTCACACTTGGAAGGCTCTCAGCCCGGGGACGCCTGCCCTGGCCGCAGCCATGCGTGGGGGCCAGCACACCCTGTGGACACAGCCAGTGGGCATGCTTCAGGCCAGAGGAGCCACTGGGGCGAGGGTGGCGTGGCCACACGGATCCCACCAGGGCACTGGGCAGCCCCGCCCCATCCGGAGAGGCAGGCAGGCCTGGGGAACGTGCCTGGCATCTGCTCCTGAGTCTGAGAGTGAGCTGGGAGCAGGCGGGCAGTCCTTGTGGAAGGCCATGGACTAAGTTGACGTGCAGCCGCCAGGAACCCCTCCCCACTGTCCCGCCCGGCTGCACTGAGCTGGCGCAGCGCCGGGCGCCCGCACACTGTGCCCCCGCCCTCCCGGGCAGTGCGCTCCTACCTGCTCCTGGGCCCAGGCGGGCCTCTCCTCCGGGGTCCGGGGCTTGGGCTTGAAACCTCGCTGGGGGTCGGCAGGGTGCTTGGTCTCCGGAGGGAGGCTCAGCGATGTGGGCCGAGCCTCACGCCTGCTGGGTCCCCGGCTGGCCTCGCCGGGCGGGCAGGCCTCAGTGCAGGCCGTGGGCCGCAGCTCAGGCGTGTGCTCGGGGCTGGCCGCGCTGGCGCTGGTGATGCTGGTCATGCTCAGGCTCATCTTGATCTCGGCCACGATCTGGTCGATGTCCTCCTCCCGCCCCTCCAGGTCCCCATCCCCGCCCCCGTGCCCAGATCGGTAAGGGGAGGCGCTGCCCACGTTGCCGCCGGCCTCCAAGGGGTAGTAGTCCTGGTAGGCCTCCTGGCTGGGGCTGCAGTGGCCGCCCACATCCCGGCCGTGGGCCTCCAGGACGGAGGGCTCGTCCTCGGGGGCAGGCAGGTGGCCGTCAGCAAAGTCCTGGCCTCCCCCGAGGGCGTGCGGCCCGGCCGGGTCCGTCCAGTCCTCCACGGCCTCCTGGCACTCGTCGGTGTCGTGGGGGTCAGCGCCTTCCAGGTAGCTGTCGTCCTCGGGGCAGTAGCGGATGTAGTAGGTGACGCCCCCCTCCTCCGGGAGGCCCTCCTCGTAGCCCTCCTCCTCAGAGCTGTGGTTGGCATAGTCGGAGCTCGAGTCCCCGTCGGGGCTGGGCTGCCGGCTTTCCTGGCCCTCAGGCGTGGGACTCTCGGGCCGCAGGGTGGCCAGCTGCAGGCCTGCGGGCACGTAGCCCTCCAGGGGCGGGTCGGCGTCGTCGCCCTCAGGGGCCCGCAGCCTGTGGTCCAGCATGGCACTTGCTGCGCTCTGCCGCTCCCGCTGTGCCATGGCAGGCTCAGGAGGCCATCACTGGGGGACAGAGGCGGCCCTGCGGGAAAACAGGAGCAGGGTCAGAGCCAGGTGCCCAGGTACACGCGGTGCCCAGATACACGCGGTGCCCGGACACACACAAGGTGCCCGGACACACACAAGGTGCCCGGACACACAGTGACCAGACACACATAGTTCCTGGACACACACACGGTGCCCAGACGCAGCCCCAGGGCCCCTGCACCTGCCAGCTTGGCAGGGCCTCCAAGCCCACATGGGCTCCCGATGGCACACCCACCACCGCTGCGTCATGACCAGAGGAGAAGACACACGGGACTGGGGCCGGGGAGGGAGGCCCCTGGCATCCTACCCGTCCTGCCTCACCTCCCCCAGGTGTGCTAACACGCATGGGCCAGGGATGGGCTGGAAGCCCAAACCTGGTGTGGCGTGAGTCCCAGAGTCCAAGGCCACAGCTGCCATCGCCTAGCTGTCTCGGAAGGGAGCGGTGCCTTGTGGGTGTACTGTCTTTGCCCGCCCAGGGTGAAGGGGGCGCTCCCACGTCCAGCCTGCTCGGGTGCCACGTTGACCCCTCTGCAAACCCGCGAGGGCTGGACCAGAACGCTCACGGCAGCCCCAAGCTGCCAGTGCACATCCCCACCACTGCTTTTAGGTGCCAATGGTGCTTGGTCGACAGCTGTTCGAGTGAGTGGCTCCACCTTTGAATGATCGATGCCCGCAAGCTTCTGCTGTTACGTGGCAAAACTAACAGTACATGCCCTTGGCCTGCAGCTCCAGTGCGTGAGCGATGGAAGGGCGAGGAGAAGCTGCCGTGAGAAAGCAGAGGACGATGCTGGGATAGCCCATGCAGGAACTGTCATGCCGTCCCTGCAGCAGGGAACCGGGGAGGCAATGGGCGCACGTGCCTGGTGACAAGACCAGACTGCCCACAGCACCACAGCAGTCCCAGTACGGAAACCAGCTGCAGAGGACACGGGACAGCGGGAATGCAGGCCGGGGACGGGCGGCACGAGGGCCACTGTGGGCTGCACTCATGGCCATGGCACCGCGGCACGCGTCCGCTTATTTCTGAAGGGCGCACGGGGCGTTCTCGGGTAAATGCTGCTCAACGGCTACTGCGTACTTCAGAACCTCGCCAAGAACAGCGGCAAATGCGACGATGTTAATACAGGCCCTCGGGCGTCCACACGGCACCACGCTTTCGTTCTCTTTTCCTGTAAATGGAAACCCTCGGAATAAAAGCAGATGACCCCCAGCTAGGACCAGCAGGACCGCGCAGCTCCCCGCAAACCTGCCGGTGCTGCGTACCAGAATCAGGATCGAAGACACTCCGTGGGCCTGCCCCAGAGACTCTGAAGTCCCACAAGGCGCTCCTGAGGGAATTTCACCTTAAAGGGCAGACCGAGAAGCTGGCGTCCTTGGCCTGTCCCATGGCGTCTGCGGCCAGCGCAGCAGGCAGCACCCTGGTGGTGACGCACGGGCACTGTCCCGTCACGCTGCAAACAGGTCTGGAGACTGTCACGGCCCCAGCCAGTCTGGCACAGGCAAGCCCGCTGGAAATGCACACGCGTGGGGAAACGTATCCGTGCAGCAGCGTGTGGGACTGTAACGATCCACGCCCGAGATCTCGGTGTGGGGTGGACGGTTCTGGGCCATCAGAGGCTAGCCTAGGGAAGAGCTTCCAGATGACAGTGGGAGGTCACCATGGACACTGTAGGGTTTCTATGTCAGAATTTAACCTGCTTGAGGAGAGCTCCTTAGAAGGTAAGGGACGGGAGCACAGCAGCTGGGACGCTGTGGAGGACGGGGGAGCAGGGCGCGACCCCTGGACACGCACAGAGCCTCATCCTCCTCTGTGTCTCCAGGAATGACAGGAGCGAGTGGGAACTCCAAGACAGAGCACAGGGGGCCGGCCTGGCAGCGAGCAGACCACAGCCTGAGCTGCAGTGCTGAGGGCCACGCAGCAGGGTGGTTCGGTTCCCCGAGCAGCTTGAAACATGCCAGGCACACGTCCGAGGTCCCGAGGAGCCAGAGGGCTGGGGACAGGGTCACAGGGATGGCTTCTCTCCTGCACACACACACACACACTCCCTGTCATGAGTAAATAAAATGTTTAAGTGCTTAAAAATGTATACAAAGGTAACTGGCCATGGAGAAGGTCCTGTGCGAATAAACAGGCAGACCTCTCGCTCTCAGAATCCCCCGGAAAATGACCACCGGAGCCGTGAGCCCTCCCTCACATCACGTCATGGTTGCAGCACGGGGACACTCCTGCCAAGCCCTGCGCAGTGCCTCGGGGAGAAGCGGGCAATGTCTGAACCGCGCAACACGGACACCACCCACACCCGCTCCTCGCTGCCGCCTCTCGGGAACGGCGCGTGGGCACTGTCGGCTGGCAGGAAGCGGAACGCGCTTAGACGGAGGCGCCCTGCAGAGGCCCAGAGCACGCAGTGGGCCTGGAGACGGGCCTGCCTGTGAGTCACGGCCCCGCGGGACAACACGTCCTGAGCAGCCCGGGCACAGCACGCTGTGCAGGCGTGAGACCGCCAGTGTAGACAGACGCCCCACGCATGCCCACGCACCCACAGACGCTCACGTGGATGTCCGGTCTGAGGCCCAGAGGGCGTGGCGGCCGAGCACCATGCTCTGCGAGGCTGACCTACGACCCACCGGGTGCGCCAGGCATGTGCAGCCCGGGACCGGATCGCGGTGTGAAGGCCCTGCTAGAGGCCCTCCCTCTGCCTCTCCCACTCATTTAGAGGAAGCGTAAGCAGCGCACGGCCTGTGGCGGCCACCCTGACCTCTGCAGCGCTGAGACACGCTCGCACAAAGAAAGGCGGGTTCCGGTCAGCTTGCAGGAGCGTCATCACCAGAGGAAGAGCCGGGTCGGTAAGAGCTGGGGGGGCTGCTTCCCTCCGGCAGGAAGGGCGAGCACAAAGTAGGCTGGGGGCCTCAGGACAGGCCTGACCATCAGCAAGGACACAGCAGGTCCTTTCCGATCGGCCCGGGACCATGCGGCACGAGGCCGGGAGCCAGCTGAGTGCATACAGAAAGGCCCCGTCACCGTGGCCCGTCACTTGGCTCTTCCCAATCTGATGAGGAAGGCCGCGCCTCCTCGGGGCCACACGTACACAGGACTGGATGCTGACGGGCGGGGGGAGCACCTAGCTGGCACAGGGCAGAGGGGAGAGGGGTGAGCAAGGTGCACGAGGCTGGCATGTCCTGCCTGAGCTGTGGAGAGCCCTGCAGTCACTGCCAGATACGCAGCCCTGACCGCGTCCCTCTTGTCCCAGGGGCTGCCTTTCCCAGAACAGCCTCGAGGGGCCTCCAGCCCTGAGCACACCGGACCATCTACAGCTGCTCAAAGCCAAGGCCAGGGAAGTGGTGCTTGGGAGGGTGCCCTCTGACCCGGACGCTGCTCTGCCCAGGATGGGGTATCAGCACACAGCCCTGGCTACTGCTACGGGCCGTGGGCCACAGTGGAGACCGAGGTACGTCTCGGGGCCAGACGGTGACACTGCAGTAAAACGCCATGCTCTGCAAGGCCGCCCACATGGGAGGGTCGGCCTCCCACTGCGATCTCTCCGTGTGCTGGCACACGTGTGCCCGGGACCTGAGGCTGCAGGGCTGCGGATAGGACCTGCTGGGGTTCTGTCTCTGCCTTTCTCTCTCATGGAAGAGACAAGTGAATACGGTGTGAGAGAAATGATGAAAAGGACTGAGAGGCAAAGCATTAAAGGGGCACAGAAATGTGGATTATCTGTTGAAGATATTTTATAGTTTCATCAACTGGACTAGGGAGAAATGTTCACATGTTGAAATATTTGCTTTGTAAGCTAAATAATGTGATTGAATGTATAAAAGGAAATGGAATAAAAAATGTAAATAAAAAAATAAACATAAAGAAAAGAAAACCAGCGTCCCCGTCACACGCATGCTGCTTCCGAGCAGCCCCAGCAGAGCCGTGGCGGAGGTGCAGAGCGGCGGAGGACAGGTGGGGGCGGCAGGCAGGGCAGAGTGGGCTCTGGACGCGGCTCAGGGCCTATGCCTTGGGGTGCGGCGGGCAGCCCTCCCTCCGACCCCTGCCGGCCGCTGTCTCCAGGGGCGTCTCCTGGGACTCCGGGCCCTGGTATGGGGACGCCGCTCACACTGCAAGCCGTTAATTAGAGCTGGGCGTATTAATTAGGTCTGGATCAGTAATAAAAGATTACATCCACAAACGACGAGCCCCTTCCAGGGAATCACGCTAGTCCCGTTGGGCTGAACCCGGCAGCTCCTGCTGCTTCCTTGACACCTTCCATCATGCTGAGGTTTTCTCTCCTGAGAAAGTGTTGATGAATTTTTCTTTCCAAAGGTGCAACATATTTTGAGAGAAATCTGAATGTCAGAGCGGGAGTCTTCAAGGTTTTGAAATTACACACCAAGTCTGAAAGTAGTAACGGCCAGTCCAGTCCCGTGTCTCCTTTAAAGAAACGTGATTTCTTATTGAAATCCTTGACTGAGAGCCAAGGATCTGGGCACGAAGCCAGAACCTCCCGTATGGTCGCCCACAGAACATGGCGTTACCCCGCCCCCTCCTCTCCGCCTCCTCTGGAGAACGAGCACAAGTCGGGGCCTCCTCACACCATGCGACCTTCCTTTCTGTGGCTTGTCCCCACAATCCCCCTGCCTCAGTTCACGGGTCCCCACGTCACCACAAGAACCCTGTGCACTGAGTGCAAGAGCCCTGGGCTGAAGCAGGCCATACCCTGAAGCACCTGCTACCATGTCCCCCAGGCTGGATGCTCAGCGTCCAGTGCAGTCTGGGGTGGCCCTGAGCCTTGGCCGTGACAGCGAGCTCTGCTAGGCCTGGCTGTGCTGGAACCCAGGGACAGGTGCCCGAGCTCCCGCTCAGGTAGGCAGGAGTCGACGGAGGGTGTGACCCGCCTGCACTGCAGGACGGGGTGGCCTCTCTCCTCTGCTCGGCAGTGAGGAAGTGCAGGGAGCCACGGCACCCCAGAGACCTGCGGCCTGACCGGGCACACGCCGACGACATGCAGC